AGCAGGGAAAGGGAAAAGACAAGTGAATGCACTGGTTATTTCTGTAATGGAAGTGTCTTTCATCTGCTTGGTAAAATGCTCGTCTCTCAGATATTGCTCTAAATCTAAGCACCCAAGTTGAAACAGACTAGGAAGAAGGACTGGCCATCCACTTCCAAACAGGCCTTCGAAAACCCTATGTACAGTAGAGTATACTTAGACTAAGAGATATGGCAACTGAGGCTGAACACTCAAATCTGGAAACACAAAGGAGGCGGAACAGTTGTAAGAAAAAACGAATGACTGGAACATGGAATGTGAGAAGCGTGAATATAAGAAAATTAGACATTGTTAAGAAATGGAACACATAAATATTGACATGTTAGGTATTAGTGAAATGAGACGGATTAGCATGGGACATTTTTAATCAGATGATCATACACTACGCTAGAGATGAAAAGGTGAGAAAAAACAGGGTCGTTTTCATAGTTAAAAAGGCCGTTTCTAGATCCATCTTGAAATACATTTTTGCATGTGGCAGGACAATATCCATATGCGTACAAGGAAGACCTGTTAATACCACAATCATTCAAATTTATGCGCCAACAACCATAGCCACAGAGGAGGAAACAGATGCATTCTACCCAACTGTTGCAGTCATAAATTGAACAAAGATGCATTAATAATAATGGGTGACTGGAATGCAAAAGTTGGAAACCAGGAAGAATGATCAGTTAGTGGGAAAATATGGACTTGGTGACAGAAATAAAAGTGGGGATAGAATGACAGAATTCTGTACAATCAATAATTTATTCAAAGCAAATACCTTTTATAAGAAACATAAATGCAGGCTAGACAGTGGATTTCAACTTATGGTATGCACAGAAATTAAACTGATTACATCTGTGGAAGAAATTGTTGGAGAAGTTTAATATCAGCAGTGAAAAATAGGCCAGGTGTTGATTGTGGAACAGACCATTAACTACTCATACACAAGTTCAAATTAAAGCTAAAGAAAATTAAATCATATCCACAAGAATCAAAATTTGATCTTGAGTCTATTCTCCCACGAGTTTAAAAACCAACTTAGGAACAGGTTGAGGCCTTGAACAATAATGAACAAAGACCAGACAAGCTGCGGGAAGATATCAAGAATATCATTCATGAAGAATGCAAAAGAAGGAAGAAAAGATCAAAATGGACATCAGAATAGACTCTGAATATTGCACTAGAGCGCCAAGACGCCAAAGCAGAGGGAAGAAATCAAGAAGTTAAGGAGCTGAACAGAAGATTTCAAGGGGCAGCTTGGGAAGACAAGGCAAAGTATTAAAATGAAATGTACAAGGAGCTGGAGCTGGAAAATCAAAAGGGCTGTACTTACTCAGCATCTCTTAAACTGAATGAATGAACTGAATAATAAATTCAAGCCACAAGCTGCAATGCTTAAGGATGCTATGGGCAAAAAAAAAAAAAAAAGGATGCTATGGGCAGAATATTGAATGATTCATGAAGCATTAAAAGAAGATTGGAGTATACAGAGTCATTGTATCAAAAAGAAGTGGCTGACAGAGAATTATTTCAGGAAACAATATACAATCAAGAGGCAATAGTGATGAAGGAGGAAGTTCAGGCTACTCTGAAGGACTTGCAAAAAATAAAGTCCCAGGAATTGATGGAATACCAATTGATATTTTTTTTTTTTTTTTTTTTTTACCAATTGATATTTCAGCAAACAGATACGACCCTGGATGTGCTCACCAAGTTGTGCCAAGAAATCTAGAGGACAACTACTTGGCCAACTGACTGGAAGAGATCCGTATTTATTCCCATTCCAAAAAAAGGTGACTTGACGACTGTGGAAATTACCAAACAATCACTAATATGACACACTAGCAAAATCCTGCTGAAGACTATCCAGAAATAACTGGAACAGTATACTGACAGAGAAGTACCAGAAATACAAGCTGGGTTTAGAACAGGTTGTACCACTAGACACATTATTCCCAGTGTCAGATGGATCTTGGCAGAAAGCAAAGAGTACCAGAGGAATGTCTATCTGTGTTCTAATGACTATGCAAAGGCGTTTGACTGTGTGATCACAAAAAACTGTGGCTAACCTTGAAGAAAATGAGAATCACAGAACATTTGATTGTGCTTATGCAAAACCTATGCGTGGACCAGGAAGCAGTCCTCAGAACAGAAGAGGGAAACACTGCATGGTTCAAAATCAGGAAAAGAGCACGTCAAGGATGCATCCTGTCTCCATATGCAGAACATGTGGTGTCAGGATCGGAGGAAGACTCCTCAACAATCTACGTTATGCAGATGTCACAACCTTGCTTGCTGAAACTGAAGAAGACCTGAGGCGATTGCTGCTCTCATCAAGAAGACAAAGATTTTCACCACTGGATCCACTGGCAGCACCATGATAGATGGAGAAGAGACTGAGGTTGTTAACAGTTAAAGCTTGCTCAGCTCTATAATCAACACTCTTAAGCAGAAGTCAGAAAATCAAAAGATGAATTGCACTGGGAAAATCTGCTGTCAGTGACCTCTCCAGAGTGCTGAAAAGAAACGATGTCAGTCAAGAGACTAAGGTGCTATGAACTTTGAGAAATGACAATAGTTAAAGAAAGGCTTCAGGTCTTTTGTTCATAGGGTTGCTATGAGTTGTGCGCGACTCGATGGCAATCAACAACCACCACCACCACCACCACCACCCCCCAGGCCATGGTCTTCACAATTACTTGTTATGCTTCAGAGAGCTGGACAATGATTAAGGATGACAGAAGAATCGATGTCTTCAAGTTGTAGTGCAGGAGAAGAGTCTTGAACATACCATCAACTGCCAAGAAAACAAATATGTCTGTCTTGGAGAGGGTGAAAACAAGTTTCTCCTTGGGGACTAGAATTCCGAAGCTCTGTCTCACATACTTTGGGCACGTGGCCAGAAGAAACGACAGGAGGACAGGATGCTCAGAAGGGTGGAGGGACAGTGCGGGAGAGGGAGAGCCCAGATGAGATGGATTGATACAGTATCTGGGGCAATGAGGGTTAGTGAGATTGGCTCAGGACAGGGCAGGGTTCAGAGGTGCTGTACATGGGGTCAATATGTGTTGCAGATGACTTGATGGCACATAACAATAAGGAGTAAGAAGTTACACTGCTATCCCAAAGGCATGGGGTTTGAACCCACCAGCTGCTCTATGGAGATGATGGGCAGTCTCCTCTCGTGTGATTTTTCCGCCTCTGAAAACCCGCTAGAGGGTCAGCTGTGCGTTAGTTCCCACTCAATGGCAGGTAGTAACACCACCACCGAATGTCAACCCTCAACGAAAAGGCTTAATTGTGTTTTTTAAACTCTTTTCATTAACTATTCCAGAGGGAAAAAAAAGATGTAATTTTAAAGTCTTGAGAAAACAACACAGCCAGTCTGTATCACTCCTAAAGGGAATATAATATAAATGATATAGCCCACCACAGGGAGTGGACAGTTTCCTGATAATTCAAAGCAGGTGTACAGAAGAACTCTGTGGGAGTGGGACTCTGCAAGTAAGGTACACAGGTCCTAAATGAGGGGACTGAGGGAGCTTTGGTGGCCTAGTGGTAAGGAGCTGCACTGCTAACCCAAAGGTACAAGGTTTGAAGATGCTCTGCAGGAGAAAGACAGGCAATCTCCTTCCCTGCGATTTACTGCCTCTGAAAACCCGCTGGAGGGTCAGCTAAGAGTTAGCTCCGACTTGAAGGCACATAACAAATGAGGGGGGTTGGTCAGCTTTGCCATCCTGCTGGGAGTAAAGGGAGCCAATTCCAGAGCTGGGGGTGGAAGTGGGGAAGGAGGAGCACCTCATCACCTAGAAGAGAGAAGAGCTAGGAGTGGAGTGTGTCTTCAGGAGTTAGAATCCTTGTCTTGAGAGCCCCCTAGTCCCAGGAAAAGTAAACGGTGCTGTAACTTAGGAGGTGGCAAAAGTGTCAAAGGAGGGGGCAGCTGGTGTCAGAACTGGTAAAAAGGTTGAAGGAGGCATGTCTGACTTGCAGGAATCAGCCGTGGGCTGTTGATGCTAATAAAGATCCTTCATGCCCCTTATAAAGTTAGAGGATATCAGATGTCACCTCCACATCCCACACCCTGTTCCAGGCATGACTCTCCCAGCATGGATCATTCAATAGGTTTTCCAATAGCGCAGCAGATGCACCTGCACAAAGAGCTCCCTTGAGCCCTGGGCCACACCTAGTCAGTCAGGTGTGAATCTGAGCCCCTCAACCTGCCCAGGTTACTACCTAGAAGCAAGTAAGCCTCACACACACAAGCAGAAATGCATCGAGAGCTTATCAACTCATCAACCCCACAGGCAGACAGAGCCTGGGGACCCCAGGAATCCTGGTGCACATGAGACAGACAGGTCACAGCTGGGTCTCAAGGGCACTCCGAGACATGCCAGCCACTTAGGAAGGAGAATGGGGGCATCGGCTCATTCTCGGTCAAAACTGACACTCTGCCATGTAAGCGAGTAACTTACTAACTGCCGTGTCCCTCAGCTTCTTCATCTGCAGGTGAGAACAGCATAAATACCCACCTTACACAACTGTCAGGGGTTAACATATACGGCATCTGGGACACAGTCTAGCTTAATGTTTAAAAATAACACCTTATTCTACATTTATCCTCATTACAAAACATTACCAGTACACTTTAAACAGTCTCAAAAGCTTAGGTTTCAAGCGTTCCTAGAGAAAACTGAGCAATTCTGTAATGTTGTTTCCACCCTGAACAAAGCAAAGTAGCTGGTCTTTACCTGAATCTTCCATTAGGGAGGGATCCACTTTTGGAGAAAGAAAAGCTATGAAAAGGTTTAGGTGATAGATTCCCAAGGCGTAGGTGACAATGTACCAGCCCTGAAAGAAAAAGTAAGAGCACATCAGCAGCAAACTTCCACCACCCATCAACCTAGACCACACATGCTGAATACAGAACAAGGTTCAGTCCGTTGGACCGGGCTCAGATGTGTTGTTCACAGGGCTGCTATGAGTCATACTTGACTCAAGGGCAGCTCACAACATTGAATGAATATTCCTCAAGGTCTCCAAGAACCAGGTAACCACAGAAATAGTTCTCAAGTAGGAAATAAAACAGGAGAAGGAAGGGTGCTCGCAAGCGGAGCTGAGGGGAAACATCAGTCACATGGTCCAACGTCTCACCTCTGCTCCCACCACAACAGCACAATGGAAGGTTCAACAACATCCCAGGCGACCCACACTCAGAGCAGACGGCGCAGGGCACTGTCCTTCGCTGCACTTACCTGCAGTAGGTAAACTCGGATCATGTAGACGAAGCTCAGGCCCAGCGTCACAACCCATCGCACTGCTGTGTAAGGGGTAGATTTGTCCAGCCAGGACTGGTAGATCTAGAGACACAGTTTCACAGGGGTTACACGGACCTCGTAACTGTACACACCACGCTGTACTACAAAGTATGCTTGGTGCTACAGCACACATGGTGCAAGAAACCATTACTGGCTTGGTTTCTGTTTAAAAGGCGCACACAGAGAGAGACACAGAGGGCTGCTATGAATCAGAAGTGATTTGACAGTAACATGTTTGGTTCTTGGTCCATCTGTCCATCAATCAGGACAGGCAGTTATTGCAATTAATCCAGAATATATCTGCAGTAAATCCTGAGGCAGGTCCATCTCTTAACAGAGAGTAGATCACCAAACAGTCAACCACTGGAGGTGGGCCCACAGCACCGACCTCAGATTAGGCTGAGGAAGCAGCACAAGATGGTCTCGAGACTGTCTTCTCCCCTCAGCCCCTCCCTCCACAGCAGCCCCAGCCTTGCCTACAGTACTGGGCACTGCTTCTACCTCTGCTCACAGCTTGCCTCCCACAGACGGGACCTCAATGACAGAGACCCACTGCTACATGGCTCTGGGGCAAGCTAAGGAATTCTTCATGGTGTGAGTTTCAAACATTCATAGAAGACAGCCCATATATACCCACCACCCAGCACCAATAATTAGTAACAGTTTCCAAACACTACTTTAATTAAAGATAGATTATGCCTTTATTTCTGAACCCAAAGATTAGTGTATAATGCTGCTGGCTGAATAAGACTCTCTCTCTAGAACTGTCCCCCCTCGAAAGGGGACAGTTCCTGCCTGAAAACACTGGAACGAGGACAGTTCCTGCCTGTAGGCAGGCCACACATGCATACATGATGGAGATGTCAGACACGTGTCTCTGTGCCTTCCAGAAGGCATGTTGCGGGTGGGGTTTGTGGAAACAGAAGAGAAAGAACCATCAAGTACTCAGCAGCACTGGGAGGTTAACTCCTGCCGTGAGCATGGGCACCTCCACCACACTGCCCCAACGAGGTGACAGGACACAGTCACTGCACACGGGTCCACACGCCTGCAGAGACACCATCACGCCTGGTGAGGAGCCAGAGCAGCAGCTGCAGTGTGGGTCAGGAAGGGGTTAGCACCCCCGCACAGGTGACGGGCCAGAGCAGGTGACAGACTGCCTCCTGGATCAGCACCACGCCCAGGAGCTGGCCATGGTCTCTACCTTATTAAAAGTCGCTAAAACAAAACACAAAGACCAGGTGGCAGAGACCATGTATGAGCTCTAAATCCTAACTGCTTTTCCCATGTGACTTCTACAACCAACCCAAGAGCCCAGCAAACTCTCCTCTCACGACAAGGAGAGGCCTCTCCTGAAAGTACATGTGGAAGGTTAAGTCAAGATACAGTTCAATTTCCCTTCTGGGAACATTAGTACACTTGTGCCATGCAGCGAAATGTTTCAGGCATCAACCTGAGACGTTTCTTTTCTAAACCGACAGCTGTTTACACTAATCAGATAAACACTGTACCCACCTGGCCCAGTCTTGTGAAGAACCTGTACACCACGGAAGGCTTCCCATGCACAGAATCGCCAACACTGTCCCCTTCGGACATTCTGTAACTGGGAGGAAAACGCAGAGGACTTTTAAAACTAGAAAACGCAGCACAATGTGCAAACTATGCCACTTTCCCCAGTGCTGCCAACATTTCTGTGCACTGTCTGTCAGCTGTGAGGGCCAGCCTGTCCCCGCCATGGCTCCTTCCCTTGCATGTGTGTGCAAGCACTCACGGTGCCCATCAGGAAAAGCAGCCCAAGCTGGGGCATGTGCTGGGAGGACTGTCACTGTGCACAATGCCAGCAGTGCTGGGAGGACTGTCACTGTGCACCATGCATGCAGCACAGGGCTGGCTCTCACTCGCAAGGATCATCATCCCAGGCACCTCAGCAACTCACAGGCCCCACTCCTCTATCACTGCTCTGACCCGGCGTCACAGCTCTGACCTCCAGCATCAAGGCCTGCGTTCACATTTCTGTGCCCCACCTTACTCAGCCAGTCCCCACAAGCGGTCTGTGGCTCACCCATCCTCAGACCCTGTGGCCTGTGCAGCCATCAGAGCCCTCTTTATCAGCTCCCCTGGGACCCCTCTCCTTTAAGCCCATGACAGGCTGCTGTCCAGGCTGTGGTCTGTGCTGCCAGTGGGCCTAGCCAACCCAGCCCACTGCAACAGGCACAATCTCCTCCTTTCAGGCCCAATGTCTCTACGCCAGGGACTGAGCCACCCACTACCCATAAGCCGAGCCCCGAGCCTGCAAATGTTCACAGCAGTGGTCTCTGGTCATATGACCAGGCCTAGTGCAGCTTCCTGTACAGAGTGACTTTCCACTAGGGAGGCTTCCACACAGGTGCCCGGGAAACCTTCTAGCCAGGCCTCGACTCTGGCAAAACCCTTCCACACCCCATCATCTTCACAGGTAAGGTCCAAACTCCAAACACTCCAGTCGGGATTCCTGATGTGAACTCTGCCCTCGACCTCAATGCCCACATCTGCCCTGTTGAGCACTCTGGGCGCTCGATGCACATGTTCCTGCCCCATGCATGTCTCGGCAGATGCAGCCCGTCAGGAGCGCCTGCCTGCCTCCACTGCGGTTCACCACCAGCTTTGTGGAGTACAGGGCATGCTCGCCCCCTCTGGTCTCTGCTGGTTGCTGGGGGCCTTACCCACACTCCATTGCATGCTGGCTGTTCTCCTCTGCCATCTGGAAGCCCCTGGATCAGGACGTTATCCCTCACTGTGGTGGCTGTGGCCACCGGGGCCGAGGACAGAGTTAGTCCCTGAGCTAAACATCTTTCATATGTCAAAACTTTTTCTAAACTGGGTATTTAGGAACATGTAGATTAATGAAAAATAACCACTTCTGATTGCACTGACCCCAACTCATGGCAGCTCCACGTGCGTCAGTGGAGAGCCGCACCTCAGTCTTCAGGAGGTGTTCAGTGGCGCTCTTAAAAAAGTAGACCACAAGGCCTCTCCTCCAAGGTGCCTCCGAGCAGAGTCAAACATCCAACCTTTCAGTGAGTGAGCAGCTGAGTGCAGTAACCTTTAGCTCCACCCAGAAACTCCAATTACAAAACAGCAGTCTTTAAAAACTTTCTTCCCCCAAAGCTAGATTATCTGTTTCGTACATAAACTGAAATTTCAAAAGGAAAATACCTTCTAGATTAGCAGTAGTCAGTTTATCCTGTGCTCTAGTTTAGAACACAGGTAATCCTAGCTGCGTCTGACTTTCAACATGCTGTTGTGATTGTGTGGGGAATTAGCCTGTGAGAACCAAGGTGCCCACATTAATTTCCAAATAATCAAGGAAGGGCGGGCACAACTAATCCTGCTTCACAGAGGAAGAGTGAAACTCAGGTGACCTGAGCTCCCGCCACAGCCAGTGCAAGGGGCCAGGGCCAGCCTGGCCACAGGCTGGGTCCGCTCAGCAAATCGAGTTCCACTGGGCTGGGTTCACAGGACTCCTGGTTTCAGGGAACAGCACTTCTGAGGAAGCAGCACCTGTACTTCTATTTTAGGGATGGGGCACCGGCAGCCCCAAGTCTGTCGGTGCAGTCTCTCCCAGGAGAACAGTGCCTCCCCCGGCTGCCTGCTGTGACCGCAGGTTTGAGAACATCTGGAGACACCTTTCAAGGGTGGTTCTACATTCCCTGAGCTGACAGCAGAGGCCTCCAACAGACCACCTGACCACACTGGTCACACTCCGTTTCCTCACCTATAAAGTGATGCCCAATCAAGCACTGGCCACTAAGGACCGAGAACACCATTCCACAGCAACCTCGGGGCCAAATCCACTCATAGAGGGGCGAACAAGAGACTCACTGGCTCAAGAACTACCTGTCCACAGTGGAGCTGGAACGTGAAACCGGATGACACGAGCCCAGCGCCTTCCCATTCACAGCCCTCACTGATAAGAGTCTTGGAAAATGAAGCCAGTCAGCTCCACCAGGCAAGCCCGAATCTCAAGTGGACGAGTTTTTCTACTGCAATTCCAACACGAGACCTTGATCAGGCACACCACCAGGCAAGGCACGGACACAGCACGACCAGGAAGCACTGGTACAGACAGACCAAAGTACCAGGAACCACAGTGGAAGAAACAAGGAACTGCCCTTTGCTCCTCTGTGGGCTGTACAAACCCACACTGTGACTTCAGTCAGTGACTTCACTGACCATCATGCTGTGAGGAAGCGAGGTGCCATTTTCACATTCAACTGGGGAGAGGACCCTCTCCAGAAGGGGCTAAGAAAGGGACTGCAACACAGTTTCCTACCACTAGAATCAGTGACCTAGAACGCAGCCGTCTTGTTCAGGCCAAAGCCAGCACTTTGGTAATAACATTCATCCTCAACTTTCTTACAAGCTTGCTTGTGCTTCACTTCCTTCTAAGTTATGTGCTTTCTGACCAGTGTTTACCATTAAACACTTGCATATGAACTGAACCGGCAAGAGTAATATTAGGACAAACCACCTGACTAGTTCGTCAAAGCACGTTCTCCAAGAGCTATGTTTAAACTGGTCTTGTTCTTTCAAGTGGAAAACCCACTAAAAATACACGATGTGACAAACTGAAAATGCCCTGAAACACTGCTCTCCAGCTGATGAGCTCATCTCCAAGGGAGCACAACACTAGGCAGGGTCAACATGGTGCAGGCTCAATGCAGGATGTGAGCTTTGGGTTCTAATTGCTGCTTTGAGATCCCATCTCTGCTGCTTTCTAGCGGGCTGACCTAACAGGGCCTGAGCCTCTGATCTGTAAAACGGGGCCACCTGTGCTTTGAGTGTCCTCCTCAAAGGGTTCTTGGGAGGGCTGGCTGGGCTGATCCAGGTGAAGCACTCGGCACCAGGGCTGGCACTGGGAGCCAGCGCCACAGGTATGCCAGCCAATTTCAAACATGTCAAACTTGTTCCAGATCAGCGCTGCTCCCCTACTGTTCAACCTACTCCCCTCTGTCCTTTCTAAAGGCACCTCTTTGAGGAGGTCCTCCAGGCCAAGCACCCAGTCCTTTATTCCAGAGCACCTTATTTCTATTTAGTGCAACAACACGACCTTTAGCAGCCCCTCACCCCCAGTTTCTTTCTCTGCTTCTCCCTACAAGACTGAAAAGGGGAATGGTGCCTGTTTGGTTTGCTGCTGGGCAGAGAAGCACCTGCCATGTAGCACACAGACAAGCAATAAATTACCATCTGTGGAATTACTTTACGCCCAGCCACACAGGCATAAGCTGAGAAAGCAAGCTAAAACCATTGCCAGCAAAAACTTCTTAGACATAACAGAAGTTGTAGCAAGATCGTGCACTTGTCTTTGAGGGTCCACCTTCCCCTTTCCCCAGAAGCCCTTCCATTGGTATCCATCCATCCAAAACAGAAATGCAGACTCTTCTGTCTGGCACAGACACAGGGGGGGTTTGCCCTTCTGGTTCCTCTCCCACAGCATACTACAGGCTGCTTGCCCGGGGTCCTCCCGAGTTCTCCATTCTCCTGGTGCTGTCCCCTGAGCTGGATAATGACCCCATCTTATCTGCTCCTTCCCCGCACACATTGCACATTCCGGCCTCGGTCCCTCTGTCCTCTGGCCAATGACCTGAACGACAGCCGCTCCCTCCATGCCATGGGGCGGGGCAGAGCTGTGCCTGGCGCCCCACGGGCTCTAAGCAGACTCGCTTCAATTATTCATTCATGCGGAGTACTCCCATTTTACACATACTAGGAAGCGAAACCTCAAGCCAACTTCAGCAGAAACGACTCTGGCAAAACTTCCAGGACAATCTCGATCCTCTAAAGTTTAAAAGGAGCCTAATGAACAGGGTTTCTCAAAACCGAGACAGCCCTCCAGTCCGATCCAAGAAATAGACGTTTACGGTGGTGTCAGCGTGGACGGGTAGAACGTAGGCCTGATTGATGATTTTATTACCTTAATTTTCAATAATGTTAAGCTGTTGTCAGGTGACCTCGAGTCGACTACGACTTATAGGAAGCCTGCGAACAACAGATCTGAATCCTGCCTTCTCCTGTGCCACCCTCATCCTAGAACACGGGATTATTAAACTCCCTTTTGGCCCATTCAGTAGTTTTCACCATGATGTTGTAACACTGAAATGCTATAGCTGAGCCGTGTGATCATCAACAAGGCTACGGGGCGGAGAGGAGAAATCTCTCGACAACAAATCTATTGCAATTCTACCAGAATTTAGGAGGTGAGCAACCAACAACTTTCCCAGCCAAGTGGGACGGGAGCAAGAAGGTGCCATCGCGGGCGGGCCATGCTGTCCTCCCCGGGGCAAGGCCGCCCCCTCGTCCCGCAGACCCCGGCCTGCAGCTGGGCGGGCCGGCTGGGGGTGTGGCCTCGGAGGCGCTCACCGACCCCGGCCTGCGTGGGTGACGGTGCTCTCAAAGCTCCAGGGCCCTAGGCCTCCCCGCCAGCAGCCGATCGCGGCCTTGACAGCCGGGAAAGAAGAGGTGGCGCGCTGGTCCAGCCCGGTCACCCGCCGCCACGCAAACCACCGGCACAAGCAGGCCCGCCCTAACCCCGCCTGGCACCTGGCAGCGCCGCGGCGGCCGAGCCACGGTTTCCGTCAGGGCACCGGGAAAGAGGACCTGGCAGGCGGCAAGCCGCGCATCGCTCGCTTTGGGACTCTGCAGCCAGCACTTCCACTCCGTCCGCCGCGGCGCCGCCTCCAGGCTTCCAAGATGGCCGCAAGGAGGAGCCTAGAGCTCCAACCATTTCCGCTTCCGGTACGGACTGCGCGACCGTTGGAGAGCGGCCACTCAGCGGAAGGGAGCGCACGCCGGAAACGCGGTACGCTGCGCTGGCGCGGTTGATTCCTCTGACTCCAACCCGGAGAAATCCAGTCCAGAGATAATTGTTAGTCTAAAGGCTGACAGCTCCGCGGTCACGCCCCATCACGACCAGACTACCAATGGAAGAGGGCTTTACTGGTTGCTAAGGCAAACCGGTAGCGGCAAGATGGCAGCCGCTGGTCCCGGGAACCCAACTCCGGGTTCCCTGTACCAGGACGCGATTGGGCGGCCGCCGCAGGACGGTAACGACCATAGGGCTGAACAAGCCCATGGGAAACGGGAGTATCCTGAACCCCTGCTGAAATTTTACAGCAGAGGAATGTTTTGGGTGATCCCTGACCCCCTCACCCCTAGTTTTTCAGATTGGGAAATCAAGTCCTGGAGCTAGGTGGCAGTTACTCGACAGCCACCTACGCACCCAACCTTTCGCTCCAACGCGCACCTTTCTCAAGATCCGACTCGCACCTACTCAGGCTTCTCCTTCCCCAAAGGAGCTCTTGACACCTTCACCCTATGCACTTCCTCCCCACTCCTACCCTGACCCCTTCCAATCTCTAGAGGTTTTTAGGAACCGAACATGAATGGGAAAGTGCTCCTGGGCACAATAGAGTATCAGAACCAGCAGGGAGATTGAGGTTTCCTGAACACCCAGCTGTTGGAATGAAGAGTTTTTATCCCCAGGATTGGGAGAGTTAAAATAGACACCAACCTGGTGTTGTCTAGAAATGTTAGGACATGTTTTCAGAAGCCGTGCATAGAAGCCGTTCATGAAATCTAAGGAATGGGACCGGAATGAGTTATGCAGGTCAATACCTACAAGTAGAACCCTGACTTGACTTTATGGCGATATAAGAGCCTGTGCCTCTTCCTGTCCTCCACCCTTCCCTATGTCACACTAAGATATGCCTGAGATGCCGGCAGAATAGGACCTACAGCGCCGCAGAGGAATTGTGGGATGCGGCAACAGGTACTGAAGGAGCAGGGAAGGAAGAGAGTGATAGAGTGAATCAAGGGATCACAGACTGGAGATGTGTTGGTCTGCAACCAAGGAGGGTACTTGGGCCCTGAAAGATGTGCATTCCTGTCTAAATTGTTAAAGACAGTGAGGACATGTCCTGCAGGCAGGCAGGACTGGAGCAGGAACAGCCCTACAAGGCGCTCAGAGGACAGGACCTGGAAATCAAGCTACCTTGTTTGTTTGATGGATCATTTTTTAAATGTGCGACCCAGTTTATATCCAAAGACTTAACAGGTAGACAATCAGGTGATACACAGGGATTTATTTATCACTCTTACTGACAAAAGAACAAACTTCTGTGAAGTCAAGATGGTCAGGGAAAACGCTTTGTTTCAAATCACAAAGCACCACTCAGGACCTCCTTGCACACCAGCCCCTGAAGGAGACCAGGAAGTCTCACACACACACACACACACACACACACACCCTGCCAGAGTGTTGTAAAAAACCTTAAAAAAAAAAAAAACCAAAAAACTCAAACCTTGCCATTTTCCAATCAAGCCTTCAGAAGCACCCATCACCATCAACATCCATACTTAGGAATTGTCTAGTTTCTTATAACCTTATAACTTGGCTATCCCTAACCCTACCTATTGCAGTAGCTACTCTCTTCTGTTTGTGTGTCCCCAAATCCCCAAGTGCTGCTCCTGCACCAAGGACTCTACCTTCTCCATTTTGACATGGCTAATCCTACTCCCCCTGAAATTTCAGAACTCTCTTCCACCTCCACCAGGCTAAGCCCACTCCTTCTGATCTCAGCTCAGATGTCAACTCTTCAAGAAGACTCCCCAGTCTTCCCAACATCCTGAATGACCTCTGCTCTCAGAGGACCCTGCACTTATTCCAACTTGGCCTCACCATCCCTTGAGTGTGGCATCAAACAGGGGCCTTCTTAGGTTCTTGTTATGTGCCATTGAGTCAACTACAACTCATAGTGACCCTATGCACAACAGCTCTGAACCCTGCTCTATCCTGAGCCAATCTCACAGTCTCTGACACACCTACCCTCACTACCCCAGTTATTGTGTCTCTCCATCTCATCCAGGGTCTTCCTCTTCTGCGCTGTCCTTCCACCCTTCAAGCATGATATCCTTCTCCAAAGATTGGTCCCTCTTGGCTATATATTCAAAGTGTGAGATGGAGTCTCAAAATCCTTGCCTCTAAGGAGAAACTTGGCTTCACCCTCTCCAGGACAGACCTGTTCTCTTGGCAATCATGGTATGTTCAATACCTCTCTCTAGCACCACAACTCAAAGGTATCAATTTTTCTTCTGTAATTCCTAGCCACTGCCCATCTCTCTGATGCAGAGGAAGTAATTGTGAAGACCATGGCCTGGATCAGATGCACCTTAGTCTCTACATTGGCATCCTTGCTCTTCACTCTGGAAAGATCCCTGACAGCAGATTTTCCTAATACAATTCATCTTTTGATTTCCTGACTGATGGTGCCAAGAGTATTGATTGTGGAACCAAGCAAGCTGAAATTATTAACAATCTCAATCTCCATATATCCTGGCTTGGTGGTGAGAATCTTCATTTTATTAATGTTGTGCTTCAATCCATATTGCAAACTACAATCCTTGACCCTCTGCAGGAAATGCTTCATGCTCTCCTCAGTTTCAACAAGTAAGATTGCATCATCCTCCAATCCTGATGCCACATTCCTCCTCTCGAATGATCTGTTCTGCATACAGATTGAAAAGGTATGGAGACAGGACACATCCCTGATGCACTTCATTTCTGATTTTGAACCGTGCAGTGTTCCCTGGCTCTGTTCTGATGGCCACCTCCTGGTTCAAGTGTAGGTTTTACATAAGCACAATTAGATGTTCTGCAATTCCCATTCTTCTCAAGGTTAGTGTTTACAACAAAAGGGTAACTTTAATAAATAGAAGTTTGTTGTGGTTTAGGAGGCTAGAATTCAAAACTCAGGTTACTGGCTCTCTTGTTATTATTGTTAGATGTCATCAAGTCAACTATGACTCACCATGACCTTTTGAACAGCAGATCTGAACCTTGCTCTATCCATCATCCTCACCATCTCTGTCACCCTGCATCTCGGTCAGCTGTTAATCCGTCTCACTGAGGGTCTTCATCTCTTTCTCTGACCCCCTACCTTCCCCAGCATGTCTCCCTCTGAGGACTGATTTCTTCCTGAAAATATCCCCAAAGTAAAGGGAGACAGTGTTTCATCACCCTTGCCTCCAAGGTGCACTCTGATTGCACTTCCTCCAAGACTGATTTGTTCTTTTGGAACCTGTTGTCAGTTGATTACGCAGAAGAGGAAGACCCTGGATGAGATGGAGTGACACAATAACTGGGGTAATGAGGGTAGGTGTGTCAGAGACTGTGAGATTGGCTCAGAATAGAGCAGGGTTCAGAGCTGCTGTGCATAAGGGTCACTATGAGTTGTAGTTGACTCAATGGTACATAACAAGAACCTAAGAAGGCCCCTGTTGTATCCTATGCCATCCTCACAATCTCTGACATACTTGAGCTCTTTGCAGTAGTTGTGTGTCAGTCCATTTGCTTGAGGGTCTTCCTATCTTTCACAATCCCTCCACGTTTCCAAACATCATGTCTTTCTCCAAGGAATTGCTTCTCCTAGCAAAGTGTCCAAAGTGTGTGAGACAAAGCTTTATTATCTTTGTCTCCAAGGAGCCCTCTGACTACACCTTCTTCCAAGACATCCGTTTGTTCTTCTGGCTGTCCATGGGATGTGCCACACTCTTCTCCAACACCACAGCTCAAAGGCATCAATTCTTCTGTCATCCTTATTCATTGTCCAGCTCTTAGATGCAGAGCAGGTAATTGAAAAGACTGTGGCCTGAATCAGATGCACCTTAGTCCTCAAACTGACATCATTGTTCCTCACTAACTTGGAGAGGTCTCTGACTGCAGGCTTTCCTAGTGTAATACATCTGATTTCCTGATTGCTAGTACTAAGGGTGTTGATTGTGGATCCAAGTAAGATGAAGTTGTTGGCAGTTCCAATCTTTTCTCCATCTATTATAATGTTGCCTATCATCCAGTGGTGAGAATTTTCATTTTCTTGACGTTGAGATGCAATCTATATTGAAGGTTGTAGTCTTTGGTCTTCTGCAATAAGTGCTTCAAATCCTCATTTTCAGCAAGCAAGGCTGTGTCGTTTGTATAGCAAAAGTTGATGAATCTGACTCTACTCCTGCTGCCACATTCCTCCTCCTCCAGGGTCCAGCTTCTTGAATACTTTGCTCAGCATATAGATTGAATGAGTATGGAGAAAGTGCAGCCAGGGGGCTCCCTTGGAGGCAAGGATGGCGAAGCTCCATCTCACATACAAGAGCCAGTGGTAATGAAGGAAGAAGTCTGAACTGCACTGAAGGCATTGGAATAAAGTAAGCCCTCAAGAATTGATGGGATACCAGTTGACATGTTTCAAATCACAGATGCAGCACTGGATGTGGCCAGCTGACTGGAAGTGATCCATATTTGTTTCCATTCTCAAGAAAGGTGATCCAGCAGACTGGAAATTATCTCACAATATCAGTAATACCACATGTGAGCAAAATAATGCTGAAGCTCATTAAAAAAACATAACAGAATTGATGGCATACCAATTGACATATTTCAACAAAAAGATGCTGCCCTGGATGTGCTCACCAAGTTGAGCCAAGAAGTCTGGAGGAAAACCACCTGGCCAACTAACTGGAAAGAGATCTATATTTGTTCCCATTCCAAAGAAAGGTAACCTGACAGAGTGTGAAATTATCAAACAATATCATTGACATCACATGCAAGCAAGATTCTGCTGAAGATTATCCAAAAATGACTGGAACAGCACATCAACAGAGAACTTTCTGAAGTGCAGGCTTGGTTTAGAGGAGGCCGTGGTACAAGGGATATTATAGCCAATGTTACATGGATCTTGGCTGAAAGCAGGGAGTACCAGAGGAATGTCTATGTGTGTTTCATTGACTATGCAAAGGCATTTAACTGTGTGGATCACAGCAAACTGTGGCATGTGGCATCAGGATTGGAGGAAGACTCATCAACAATCTGTGTTATGCAGATGACACAACCCTGCTTATTGAAACTGAGGAGGACCTGAAGTGCTTGCTACAGAAGGTGAAGGACTACAGCCTTCAATATGGGTTGAAGATCAACATCAAGAAAACAAAGATTCTAGGGGAGCTCTGGTGGCCTAGTGGCAAGGAGCTGCAACTACAATCCCAGAGGCGCACG